GGGGGGGGGGGAGGCGGCGCTTCCCTGGGGCAGGTGGGGAGACCTACGGGGGGTCTGGCTGGGGAGGAGGCGCCGGTTGGGCGGGGGGGGTGTCTGCGATGTCGCCCCAGCATAGAGGGAGCCTGGGCGGGGGGATCCACCAAACTGCCCCCTTGGAGCTCCGGCAGCACCAGCCCCCTGCCCCATCTCCGGAGCCCCCCGGCCCCCGCCGGGTGCGGGTGCCAGCTCTGGCTCTGTCCTTCAGGGGTGCTGACCCGAGCGGTGTTGGTGAGGCCCCCCCGGACCCATGGCCCACAGTGCCAAGCAGCTGCCTGCTGGGATGCTGTAAGTGCCGCCCCCCCCGCCGCGCTCCAGGGCCCCCCCTGTCCTCCTGCATCACCCCGCTGAGGGCAGCCGCTCGTGCCTTGCCAGCCTTGGGCATCATCTTTGTGTTTTGGGGACCCCCTGCCCTCCTGTGGGCTGCACGGCTCTTCCCTGACCTGCCTCCTGCGTTAGCCTGTGCTTCCACCTAGCTGGGCTAATGATTGCGGGGCAAAGGGAGACCTGGTGTAAAGGAAACATCTCAAACCAGTGAGGTCTTCACTCACACGGGGTGACCACACGCTGTCTTAAGCTGTCATCGTCCACCGGCCCCCCCGGCAGAGGGGCGAGAGCCCGGGGGCTGTGGCAGCACCAAGGCAGAGAGAGGGCGATGCCAGAGCAAACCAGCCAAGGGAAGCTCGGAGAAGAGGAGGAATCTCGCCTGAAATAACTTTTTAAAGCATCCTTAGGCATGCGAGGAATCTGGATGGCGGGCTGGGGAGGCGGAGGTCCAGGATCTGGTGGTGGAGGGTGTTTGCACGTTCCCAGCCGTGTGGCTGAGCATGATGCTGCTGGATGGGCATCTCCAGGAATGTTAGAGATGACAGGGGAAGCCTAAGGCTGGCAAAAGATGGAAGAAGAGATGGTCTCACCTTCCTGTAGGCTTTTGTGTGAGCATGGGTCTTCAAGGCAGCTGGCTGGGCTTGGATCCCAATGGGAAGAGCTCGTGCTGGGCATCTGCTCCATCCGCAGGGACCAGTGCAGTTACTGGTGGTGTCCGCGGGGGCTTACAGAAAGCGCTCCCATCAGATTAGTTGCAAGGGTGGCTCATACAGATACAAGATACTGATAGTGGTTGGTTGGGGTCTCTGAGGAGATTTGGGTTTACACCTGTGGCAAACAGGCGAGACCATCTGGGGCACATCCTGAGCGGGTTGGGGTTGATCTGGCTTTTGGTACGTGGCGGCATTTCCTTTCTTTGCTGGGGCTTGTGCTTGGCCCTGGGCTAGTTACTGTGTCTTGTGACTTGCATGAAACCCAAGTGAGCCCCCCTACACGGGGAGCCCAACCGTGCTCTGCTGCTGGACAGACTGTGATGGAGCAGGAGCTGCATCAGGGACCAAAGGGTGTGTGGGGAACAGGGGCTTGGCTGTGGGATGCAGCCGGCTGGAGAAGGGGCTGGGGAGGCTTGGGGAGCCCCAGGGTGATGCTGCAGTGGGGCTGTGTGTGCTCAGCTGGTGCAGGGAGGCTCTGCCAACCCAGGTACTGGACCCGTGTCCTCTGCTGAAGGCAGATGCTGATCTGGAAAGACGAAGCAGCAAGTTGGAGAGCAGGGGTCAGGGCTGCTGGCCCCACGTTAGAGCCGCTGTGTGCATCTCGGTGGCGGCATGGGTGGCAGGAACCTGATGGAGCGGTTGTGCCTGGAGCGGGTCGAGCCGGCGCCTGCACCCTGCCCTCATCCTCTGCCTCGAGGGTTCCCCTTATTCCTGGCAGCACTTGTCCAAGGGTGTGGGTGAGCCAGGATCCAAACCCCCACGACTCCTCCTCCCTTGCAGAGGAGGATCAACTGGTTTGTGCTGCTTGGGACTCTGCTGAGGTGTGCACCCGAGGCCTGGTGGCATGCAGGGGTGTGGCCGTTGCTCTTACCTGTCCCCAAAAGCAGCAGCAGCAGCTCCCGGCCCCCTCCCAATTGTCATTGAAAGGTTCCAGGGCCGTCACTGGACCTTGGGGCAGCTTTTGTGTTCCCAGGACTGCCCTGCTTGCCCGGTGCTGGGCTCTGTTGAGACCCATCCCTCAACCACAGCCTCCCCTCACAGGGGAACAGGGGCTCTGGGGGCAGCTCTGGGGGCTGTTTGGATGGGCAGGAGCTGGGGGATTTGGTAAGCTTGAGGCTGCGTCCCTGGGGGATGTGTTGCCATCAGTTCCAGTGGTTTTCCAGCCCTTTCTGACAGATGCTCTCTGGCTGCAGACATGCCACAGGCAAAGCTCAGCATGGGAACTTCCTGGTGGCCATCAAGCAGGAGAAGGGAGAGTCTGCACGAACGAGCGGTGAGAAGCCACACGGCGAGGAGGAGGTGAGCTGTGGTGCCCGAATCTCTCCTTGCAGGAGCAGGGTCTGGGTTGCCCAGCCTGGGGCTGTCCCTCTACTCAGCAACCCAGATGCAGCTGGGCAAGCCCATGGCTTGTGGCCATGGCCTGAGGAAAGGCCCAGACCTTCCCTCGAGGAACAGGAGGCCCAGGAGGGTCTGCAGGCTGCTCCTGTGTCCTGCCAGTGCGATGGCATTGTGCACTCTGATCATGACGGGTTGTCCCTTTCCCTTCATTGGGTGCCAGCCAGTGAAGAAGAGGGGCTGGCCCAAGGGCAAGAAGAGGAAGAAGATCCTTCCCAATGGCCCCAAAGCCCCTGTGACAGGCTATGTGCGTTTCCTGAACGAGCGGCGCGAGCAGATCCGCACGCAGCATCCTGACCTGCCCTTCCCGGAGATCACCAAGATGCTGGGGGCTGAGTGGAGCAAACTGCAGCTTTCAGAGAAGCAGGTACAGACCCCCAGGAGAGAACCCCCAGGGCTGGGCAGCATCTGGAGCCTGCACCCCAAACCCCTTTGCTCGCTGCCTGGCTGCGGCTCCACAAAGGGAACTGGTCCCAGTACTGGAGGGCTGGTGAGCAGGAGCTGGGCCTTGAGTAGTGGGGAGGGGTCAGCAGCCCCCCGGGGAGCCTGAGGCTCCAGGCTGAGGATCCTCTGACCACAGCGGTACCTGGATGAAGCGGAGCGGGAGAAGCAGCAGTACATGAAGGAGCTGCGGGAGTACCAGCAGTCAGAGGCCTACAAGATGTGCACGGAGAAGATCCAGGAGAAAAAGATCAAAAAAGGTGGGTTGTGGGAACAGGGGCTGCCAGCGTCGCTGCCAGGATGCAGCCAAGTGGTGCCAGAACCTCTCGAGGGATGCTGGGCTGGCTCCTAGGGGTAACCTCCTCCCTCCTCTCCAGAGGACGTGGGCTCTGCGGCAGTGAACACCCTGCTGAACGGGCACCCACACAAGGTAAGGCCCTGGGGAAACTGAGGCACGTGACACCACTGGGCTCGGCCCACAGGAGCCAGGCTGGATTCAGGTTTGTGCAGAGGGAGACTTACAGGTTGTGCTTCAAGGCGTCAGCTTCCCGTTGAAGTGGAGCCTGGCGTGGCAGGAGGCAGAGTGTAGCTTCCTCTGCCCGTCCTCCCTGCCTGCCCAGGCAGGACCACCCCTTGCCCTGTCCCTGTGTCTCCTGCCCTGCCCCGAGGAGACGGGTCCCCTTCGATGGGCTCAGCCCTGCCCAATCTTTCCCCTCCCGTCCCCCAGGCTGGCGAGTGCAGCGACACCTTCTCCACCTTCGATGTGCCCATCTTCACGGAGGAGTTCTTGGACCAAAACAAAGGTGAGGGGCTGGGCTGTGGGGCGGGGGCTGCCGGAGCTGCGGCATCTTGCAGTCCCTGTTCCGCACGGTGCGGCTGCGGCCGGCACTGGGTGCGAGGTCCAGGCTGTGGATGGTCCCTGGTGCGCGGGGTAGAGGGGCTGGCACCTGGGGGTTGGTGACACTGAGCCTCTCGGAAGAGCTGTGGCTGGGGAAGGGCTTGTGGTGGGGTGAGGGAGTCAGAGGGACCAGCCCCGCTGACACGAGGTCCCGGCAGCCCGGGAAGCCGAGCTGCGGCGCCTGCGGAAGATGAACACAGAGTTTGAGGAGCAGAACGCCATCCTGCAGAAGCACACGGAGAGCATGAACTGTGCCAAGGAGAAGCTGGAGCAGGAGCTGGCCCAGGAGGAGAGGCAGACCCTGGCCTTGCAGCAGCAGCTCCAGTCCGTGCGACAGGCCCTCACCGCCAGCTTCGCCTCCCTCCCCATCCCTGGTGAGTTTGGGGCAGCCGTGGGGACCGGTCTGTGGGGTGGTGACGCTCGGGGGCACCGCAGGGGCTCCGCACGTGGTACAAGGAGGGCAGTGGTGGGGTGGTGAATGCTCATCTTGCTGATGGGGCAGGATCCTGGAGCACTTTGAGGGTCTCTGTGGGGACCCCAGGGATGTGGCAGCCAGTTGGCTCCCCTATAACCGGGTGGGGTGGGCTGGGAACTCTCCTCGAGCCGTAGTCACAGGCAGAGGTCAGCACAAATCCTTTTGTCCCTGGGCTTGTGCTGGCACGAGCTCCCCTGCTGCAGGAGGTAGCACCTAGTGTTTGGGGTCCCTTCCCCGTCACCAGAGCGATGGGCAGGGCTGGACGGGGTCTCACTGGCCCTGCTAACTGGGCTGCTGCCTCACAGGCACTGGGGAAACCCCCACGCTGAGCACTCTGGACTTCTACATGGCCAAACTGCACAGCGCCATCGAGAGCAACCCGCTGCAGCACGAGAAACTGGTGGTGCGCATCAAGGAGATCCTGTCCCGGATAGCTAGGTGAGCTGGGCAGGGCTGGCCGGAGCCAGCACCCGCGGGCCCCCGTGTCCCAGCAGCACTGGGAGCACTGGGTCAGCCCCGCGGCGGGGTAGGTGATGGCAGCCGAACAGGGAAGTTGTAGGCAGGGAGGAGCTCTGAGCTGCGCTGGGCACCTGTGGGAGAGAGAAGCTGCCCCCTGTAATTCAGCTTTGCTTTCCTCCCTCTTCAGTGAACACTTGTGAAGAGGACCAGTCCTGCCCGGAGCCCGGGGCCGGCCGGACCACGGCCCTGTCCCTTGGAGCTCACACAAAGGACAGTCTCTGCTGGTGGTCCGGCTGCTTCCCCTCCACCCCCTGCACCTCGCTGGAGTGAGCTGCACCCCCCAGCCCTGGCGCAGCTGGGCCCTGCGGCTGCGCCATCTCTGAGGACCGCGAGGTTCTGGGGACCAAACGGTGACAGGGCTGAGAGCCACCAGCCGGGGCGGTGCTGGGCGGGAGGGTCAGCGGCGGGTGGTGTGAGCGTCCCCCCACTCCTGCCAGCTCCCCCACCTCCCCCTCGTGACATCAGAGGCAGTCTGGTGGCAGATGAGGTGCCTGAGGGTTACTGGCCTGGCGTGCCTCTTCCTGGGTGACCCAGGGCTGCCATTAACCGCCCTGTGATGGAAGGGAGGGAGGCAGCCGCCTGCCCTGGGAGCCCCTGGGGCTCGGCGCTGCCTCCTGGCCCCTAGGTCAGCCCAGGAAGCCTCCTGGTCCCCCGTCCTGCAGCGGGTGAGGGGGCAGGCTTCCTTCCACCCACCTCTGGCTTTATTTAATCTTCCCACTTCCCCTTGCTGCTCCCCAACGCGTGCCTTCAGCCCCCCACCTCTGTCACCCTGCCTGTCACCTCTCCTTCCCCTGCACCTCTGGGACCAGGCAGGGCAGCTTCTGCCCTCTGCAGCGGTGAAGGCAAAAATAATTAAAAAAAATCTTTATGCTGGAGGTAGAGCTGAGCCTGACCCCTTCCTCTCTGGGGCGGGGAGCCTGGGGGGTAGTGCACAGGCCTTTGGCTTCCACCTCCCTGCCCAAGCCCGTCCTGCGTCGTGGGACCACTGTGACAGCAGCTGTGTCCTGGCTGTGCTGCCAGGCTTGGCCGTCCCAGCTCTGCCTGTCACTAATCTCAGACTGTGTAATTAGAGAGTGTCTTATTTTCTTACTAGCACTATGCTGATCTGGCCCCGGGTTTAACCCGGGGCTGGTGTGCGACCGCTCCTCTTGCCTTCGGGGTCTGTGCTCTGTAGATGAGTCTTCTGGTTGCCATCTCCTGGTGGCCGCTTGGCTTGGGATGGAGATGGGAGCAAATAAAAGTTGGAGAAAGAACCATCCTGGCCTCTGTGTGTTCGTGCTCAGAGGCCGCTTTGCTGCTGCTCTGGCCCTAATCCCAGGGGCTCTGGGCTGTGTAGCAAGGGGGATGGCCCCGAGCTCAGCGCTGCAGCCCCCAGCCCTGACTGGGGAGGGTGCGGTGGAGCACCCACCTCCTCCAGCCGCGCCGGGACCCTTCCTACATGGCAGAGCTCACCCGATCCCCGGCGGGTTACCTGCGCTGCTGGATCGGGTTCCCAGGCCCGGGGATCACCTTACGGCCAAGCCGGGAGCCAGCGCCCATCTATAATTCAGCAGTGCCGCAGCGGGATGCGGC